TACGCTGCCCGGCATCAGGTCCCTCACGGTACCATCAACGATGTTCTGTTGTTTGTATCGACTGTTCGTAATGCGAATCAACAGCAAAGTGTTAGGTCAGCTTATTAACTACCATGGAGCTCCTTATGTCAGGTGAGGAAGAATCTTCATGTTGCGCCGCACAGGGAAGATTTTGTGTGTTTCAGATGCGCGGGTTTCCTCTATGTACGGTTTGGCCTGTCCCCTAGGGATTATTGGAGCTTCTTGCAACCTCACTTATTGGTGAGATGGTAGAGCGTTGGTCTATTAATCGGAAGGTTCCCGGTTCGATTCTATGTTGGTATATTTATCAGGATGATGAAGAGTTCACTCCCGGCTGTGACAAAGGTCGGATTATTACTATGGGAGAATACGTTGAAAAGGTAGTAATTCTTTCGGGCGGAAAAATTAGAATTGCATGTCAAATTGTATAGTCGATTTTCTCTGGTTGGTTTTTCCTTGGTGTAGGAAGTCTTATAACAGTGTCGGGAGTTTTGGAGTAGGAATATATGCTCGCTTTCCTCAGCTACTGAGCTCAGGAGTGAACACAGTGTTGGAGTAGGAATATATGTTTACTTGCCTCAGCTACTGAGCTCAGGAGTGAACACCGTGTTGGAGTAGGAATATATGTTTACTTTCCTCAGCTACTGAGCTCAGGAGTGAACACAGTGTTGGAGTAAGAATATATGTTTACTTTCCTCAGCTGCTGAGCTCAGGAGTGAACACAGTGTTGGAGTAGGAATATATGTTTACTTTCCTTAGCTACTGAGCTCAGGAGTGAACACTGTGTTGGAGTAGGAATATATGTTTACTTTCCTCAGCTGCTGAGCTCAGGAGTGAACACAGTCTTGGAGTAGGAATATATGTTTACTTTCCTCAGCTACTGAGCTCAGGAGTGAACACAGTGTTGGAGTAGGAATATATGTTTACTTTCCTCAGCTACTGAGCTCAGGAGTGAACACAGTGTTGGAGTAGGAATATATGTTTACTTTCCTCAGCTACTGAGCTCAGGAGTGAACACAGTGTTAGAGTAGGAATATATGTTTACTTTACTTAGCTGCTGAGCTCAGGAGTGAACACAGTGTTGGAGTAGGAATATATGTTTACTTTCTTTAGCTACTAAGCTCGGAAGTTTATACACGAATTCGGGTAGAAGTGTAATACAGAAATCAACAACAGTTCCACAAAATCTCCATATTGTCACCCACCATATGCACATTTTCTCACGTTGACATACATTTTTTCCTGTCAGCTCTTAACAGAAGATCGCTACTACAGTGTAGTGT